AAACTTTAATCCTGTTTAATTTATGGAGACTTGTTTTATGGCCAGACTGGAAGCACCAGCATCACCTGGCAAGTACCAGAAATGCAAATTCTCAGGTCCCATCAATTGACTCAGAAATTGGGGTGAGGTCCCTGTGTGTTGACAAGTCCTGTGATTCTGATACACACTGTGACTGAAGAACCACTACAGAAACTCCTGTACACTACAGTATGCACAGATTTGTTTAGCAGACTTGTTTGTATGCACAGATTTGTTTAGCAGAATGTGGGTTTTTTAACAGTGTTGAACAATGAAATAAGAGCAGGGAGTTGAGTGTCTGTGATTATGATGTGTTTGGGAATTTAAGCTAGAAAGAGAAAAAGGAAGGACTCATGGTGTTTAGGAGTATGTAATTTGTGTTGTTAATATATTGAAGACTGGTGAAATTGCCAAATAAAATCTTAACGCACTATGGATAACTTATATAGAATAACGTATTCCACTTTATCATATAATCTGCCTCCCCACTGCATAATCACTGTATCAATTTTACTATATCCTTGCTTACAAAAGAAAAACATTAAGCTTAGTTTTAAAATTTTAAAAGGATAACATACTGTTTTTTTTTAATGATTACATTTTTATTGCTTATTACTGTATCATGGTAAAAATAACAGTATTTTTTTCTTTTGGTTGCACTGGGGTTTGAACTCAGGGCTTCACACTTGCAAAGCAGGTGCTCTACTGTTTGAGCCATACCTCCAGTCCCTTTTTGCTATGGTTATTTTTTAGAGAGCAGTCTTGAGAACTCTTTGGCCAGGCTGGCCTCAAGCCACGATCCTCCTGATCTCAGCCTCCCACGCAGCTAGGATTACAGGCCTGAGCCAGTGGTGCCTTGCAATATACATTTTATTAAACCACCCTCTTCCATTGATTAGCATTTTGGCTGTTTTTGCTATTACAAACATGCTATGAACATCCTTGCTCATGATGTATTAAGTTTCTTTGAGACACAGTACCTAAGTGGAATTACTGGGTACCAAAATGTGTATATGTATATGTATGTATATATATATATATATATATATATATATATATATATATATACCCAATTCTTCTTCCAAAATGGTTATTTCTTTACAATCCTCTCAACTTTAAGGGTACTCACTGTTCCACTTCATCTACTTGATACAGACAGAAGTTTTTTAAAAATTGCCAATTCAATGGGACATCTTCTTCCTTTGACCCATCAAAGAGCATTCAACTTTTTTGTCAAATATATACACAAATAAACCACATATAAAAATCCTTTTCTTCTAACCAGTTAGAAAATGTTATTTGTTTTACTATACATAATTTTCTATGATTTTTATAAAAGCTTCATTTGTGCTTGAAAAGAATGCATGTTAATTGCTGGATAGTGTTTTATACACACACACACACACACACACACTCTCTCTCTCTCTCTCTCTCTTTTTTGCTGATGACCTATTAATAATGTAATTAAGTTGAAATCTACTATGACAGGTATTTGTTAGATTTTTTCCCCCAAGAGTTCCAACAATTTTGCTTTATATATTTAGATTTTATTAGACACTCACATACTTATATCTTGTCAGTGAATTAAATCTTTAATCATTACGTGCAAATTCAAATTTTGATATTTATTTTTTGTTGTGTTTAAGTCTGTTTTGTTTGATACTAGGTAGAGCTACCATGGCTTCTGTTGGAATTTTATTTTAGGATTCTCTTGAAATTTCTTTTATTGAAGAGGAAAATGGTTTACTTGTAAAATGCAGAAAGAACACTTTGAATATCAAAACAAAATATTCTTTAATATTTATCAAGTAAGTCAAAAGTCAGTAGTTTTGTTATAGCTTCTGAAAAAAACTGGTAAAAGTGTAGCAGGGAGGAGGACCAGAAGAAAACTAGGCCTGAGTTCTGATAAAGTGACAGGGAGATAGGGATGGCATTGTAGAGAGATAAAACCTAGGGATCTGAATATGGAGAGGGTCACGTAGCACTGGGAGGGGAAAGTCATATTACACGTGAGTAAAATTTGGCCAATAAAATTGTATATAACCATATGTGGATTAAACCTTGCTTTTTGCTTCTGCAACCTGCTTGTAAGTGTATTTAAGGTGAGACCCCTTTGTTCTTGGGGCTCAGCCTTTGGACACGAGTCTGCTGGGTCTGTGCTGCACAATAAAATGTTGCTTACTGCTGAATTGCCTGTGTCCCGTAACTCAGCTTGAGATTCCTGCAACAAGAGTTCTTGAGCAATTTATATATTTTTCTCCTTTATAAAGGGACAAAAAAAATGTCTTCATGATTCTGGAATGTCTCAAATCTCCATTTCATTGGTGAATCCCTTTTAAGCTTCCTATGCAGGAAGCTATTTAAAATCACCTTACATAGCTGCTACACACACTGGTGCAATATGGTCACAGCTGGTTTGCTTGCAGCTGATGCAAAGCTCTCAAATATTGGTCTGTATTACACTGTATACAAATACAGAGTCATTCTTCACCTAATACATTAAAAACGACCTCAACTTGATCTCAGCATCAAAGCTTAAAAAGATTTTTTTTTTTGTATGAAATAGACATATCCCAAGTTTCTATTTTCTGGAAAAAGAACACAAAAAAGTTACATTCTGTGAAAACCACTTTAAAGATGGGTTTATTTAAAGATGGTAAACAAGCACCATTGTTGTATAGCAATGCAACAGGTCATGTTCCTTTACCTCATTATATTTCCTCAGTATAAATTTCCCAATGACCATCTGGTCATATCCAATTTCTCCATTTCCAAAGAAGCCGAGTAAGAGAATAATAGGAAAAAACTTACATGAACCAGCCTCAACATTCTCTTTGTCTCTAATGCTGAAAGCCCCTGCTGATGTGGTGGTGCTGTGCTCTGGGATGTTGACTGCTTTGAGGCACTGCATAGCTGCCTTTGCTATCTTCTCATCATTGACATCCTTGTTAAAACTGTGGCACTCTGAATTCAGTGCCCTCTGAATGACAACACAACCACACCTCAGGAGTCAGTGATAACATCTTGTCCACCTGGCCTTCTGCCAAGATGATATTCGTTATCACTAAAAGTGCTGACTACTCTGCAGGTAATTCCCAGCTCACACCTTGTGGCAATTATAGCCAAAGACAAGGACCATACAAAGCTCATGGTGATCGAGGCCTACTTCACTAAATTGACGTCTTTCTAGTGTTAAATTCTTTGGATCCAATGAAAAGGCTGTATTTTTATTCCCTCCATTTGAAGGAATAAGCAAACTCAGATTCTCCAAATTCTACTTCCTGACATTGATTGCTACCTGATCCCACTGGAGGCACAATAAATCCTGGGGTCACAATCCCAAGGATTTGGCATTGTTTCAGAAATAACTTCTTAAGGGCAAATGCTTTTTCCATACTAGCTCTTTTTCTTGCTCTTATGGCCACAACATTCTTCTAGACTAACAAAATTTCAATCAGCCACATACAGAGCTGTCGATACAGAACTTCAACATTCTGGTCACCGCAGCAATGCCTTGGCAGGCAGCAAGGTGAGCACATGCTCCTTCACCTCCGCAAGGTTACTCAGCAGGAAGGTCTGAGTGGTCACCTTCGCCCTGCAGGCTCCATCCTCACCAGCTGGCCAGAGTGAGCACTACAGCAACTACAGCGCTCCGCCAGGTAGAATAGTTTTGCATCATTTTCCTTTTTTTTTTTGGTAGGGATTGAGCTCAAGCACTGTATCACTAAGCCCTTCCTCATACTTTTTACCTTAAATGTATCCATATAGTTATATTTTAAATGTATCTCTTTATACATTATAAAGCTAGTTTTTCTTCATAAAATCTAATCTGATAAGCCCTGCTTTTAACTAGTGAGTTTGTTCCATTTACATTGATTTATTTAATTTCTACCATATTCTTTTAGTTTGGAATTTATATGCACTATATGCTTTTGGTGAGTTTGATATTTTGACACCCATTTAAAGCCTAAAGTAACAGTAATCTAAGAACTACAGAATCTGTAACTCTGATCTTCCCTATGCTACTGTTACAATCCAGAATGTGTTGACCTGGGGAAAAAGAAAAAAAAAAAAAAAAAAAAAACCCAAAATCCCTTTACTTATTTATAGGTACATTGCCATTTTATTTGTTCACAAACTTTTTTGCATCTTCTTTTGCCTTTCTGGTATTATTTTCCTTCTTAAAGCACATCCTTCAGTTTACTCATTAGAGTAGCACTCAGGATAGTAAATACTCCTTTTTAAAAATATTATTTGCTCTCATTCTCAACACTCTGAAGTAACTTTGTAGTTTCCATTGTTGATACTGAGAAGTCAGCTGTTAGTCTTTAGTTTCTTCTCTCTGAAGACCATTTCTTTGGCCAGTTGCAGGTGGCTCACACTTGTCAGCCTAGCTACTCAGGAGGCAGAGATCAGGACTGTAGTTTGAAGCCAGCCTGGCAAATAGTGCTCGAGAAACCCATCACAAAAAAGGGCTGGTGGAGGGCTTAAGATGCAGGGCCTGAGTTCAAGCCCCAGTACTCTCAAACAACCTAAAAAAAGTTTTCTTTGGTGCTCTATAGTTTCACTATAGTAGTTCTACACATAAACTTGTTCATTATCTCTAGAAAATTTGTAGGCATTAGATCTAAACATCGCTTCTCCCCCTTCTTTTTCTCTTGGGCTCTATTCAATCTTCCAGATTCCTTAACCTCTCTTTTGGTTTTCCTTATCTCTTTGTTTGGGATTGACTTTTCAGATATATTTTTAATTCTCCAGTTTTTGGTTTTTTTTGGTGGTGGGACTTGGGTTTGAGCTGACGGCTTCATGCTTGCAAAGCAAGAACTCTGCTGCTTGAACCACACCTCCAGTCCTCTAATTCTCCAAACTGTTTAGCTGTTCCACTGAGTTTCAGTTTTGAATGATTATATTTTTCATTTTTGGATTTTGTTTCTTAATTTCTTTAAAATTTTACAAGTTTATCTTGGCAATAATTTTAGGTGTAGAAATACTTTATAATTTTATAATTTGTATCTGAGAAGTCTGATATATGTGATCATTGAAAGGAGTATCTAAACTCATTATCCCTGTTGGCTTTCATTCAAAGTAGCTTTGTGTCAAATACAAGTCTTTGGTAGTATATTAACTGATCTTCATTTATGTAGGAACTAAATCCAGGGCCTCATGCATGCTAGGCAAGCACTCTACCACTGAGCTACATTCTAGTCCCATTTATCTTTGTCTGAAGATCCCATCCTGGAAAAGCTTTCTTCCAGAGCATTTACTTCTACTAGCAGAAAGAAAGTGGCATGAAACTGTAACTGAGCTGAGCTCGTCTAGAGGATTTTAGCACAGAGTGAGTCTTGCTGCTGTTGCACGTTCTTGGTAACCCACTTTTCTGAGTGCCTACATTTCTAGAACTGGCTCCCTGCTATTTTACTGGCTGCTACCCTGTCCGACTTCCTGCTCCTTTTTTCTACTCTGTGTACTTGGCTTCCACTCTCAGCCTTTTAGTATCCTTAAATTGTATGTCTGGGCATTCTCACTTTTAACTCTTGAGTCTTGAAGCCCAAACTTGTTCAGGCTCCTGGTCAAGACTGCTAGCTTGTTTGTGTGTGAAGGATAGCTACAGACCATTCACACCTTTAATGACACCAGCAGGTGTCTTAGAAGTTCTACTTAGTTATATTAGAAACATGACATCAAACAAAAGTTTTTGTTTTGCTTTTTTTTGGTGGAACTGGGGTTTGAATTTAGGGTTTTGCAATGGCAAAGCAGGAGCACTACTGCTTAAGCCATACCTCCAGTCCATTTTGCTCCGGTTATTTTGGAGATGGGGTCTTGTGAACTATTTGCCCAGGCTGGCCTAGAACCTCGATCCTCCTAATTAGCTAGGATCGCAGGCACGAGCCACTGATAGCCACCTTAAGCAAAAGTTTTGACACTTACCTCTAATTTTATATCTGTATGTAACTTATTTTATTTGTATACTAATGTATAAAGTATCTTAGAGAAACACTATATCTGAAGTGATGCTTCTTTGAGTTTCTCTTATTCCACTCCCTTAATAGCTCTAGGAAAATGGGTTAGTACCTGCAAAAATTCTGTTAGAGCTGAATCGCTAAGGCATATTTTACCAGGTCAAAACAATAATAGTAATTCCCTTTATTTTCTCAATTTATGTTACAGAGAGAGCATGGATCAGTCCTTTATATTTTTAGAATATTCCATTTGCAATTTTTAAATAAGATGACTACAAAATGTTTAGTATTGTTTTATTCATTTGCCTATTTTCTGAACTGTCAGGTCCATAATTAAAGTAAGTTAATCTAAGGTCTCGGGGCATGACTCAAATGGTGGATAGAGCACCTGTCCTCAGGCAAGCATGAGGCCTTGAGTTCAAACCCCAGCACCACAAAAAAAAGTAAATAAGTTAAATTCAAACAAGAGCAAAGTGTATGTAATACTAGTGCTTCTATTTTAATATTAATGCATGCTGTTCTTCTTGAATGGTTTTGTTTTCCTCTATCCTCCCCCTCCCCCCTCAGTGTCTAGCCACTGTGGGGAATTCCATACACTGAATGAAAGACGCTACTCACTTTATGGAAGCAGAATATAAATTTTCTCTAGTATTCCCAGAGAAGTGGATAATACACTCTGAATTTTCAAGGTTTTAACCTTCTGTAAGACAGCAAGTACTTGCAAGAGGGCTAAATGAAATTTTTTTTTTTAAATCTTGAACCTAAAGCTAGTATACATTTTAATCACCAGGAAGTTAGGAAGTTTCTAAAAGGAAATAATAATTAAAACCAAAGTTACAAATTTCAGTCTATTTAAACTTTAATTTGTGCATTTGTGGTAATTTATGACTGCAAAACACTTTTTTCTTAGAATGACATAAAGGCACATTTCACTTGAATGCATAGTGTACCATTCTAAAATATCCTCATTTCCGTACAAAGTGCTTTAGCAGTCACATACACAGAAACACAGAATATATTTACACTCTTAAAAATTTAAATCTGACTAAAATATATATATTTTAAAAACTACAGAAAAATTAGTGCTTTCCTCTGCTTAATTGTGTGAATATACCCTGCCCTCTAATTTTTTAGTGATTGGCTTCAATTTTAAAAATTTCTGTACACTGTGTAGTTATAAAATGCTATGTCAGTTTTTAATGCTAAAAGCCCATTTTAGACATTGCTTTCTATGCATGTTTGAGAACCAGCAAAGGTGAACAGACTGTACCTCAAAAGTACTTAGTGTTTCTTTTAATTTGTGTTAGCACTGTTTAAATTAAAGCCAAACAATTATGCTAAGTTCTCTACTGTCCTTTCCCAAGGAAATTAACTGGTATTTAAAAATAACTTTAAACAACAAATTGTTTCTCTTTTTACAAAATTTTCTCCCAAGGATCTTGGGTAATAACCAATTTGGAAGGGAATATGAAGTATCTCTAGACAATTTTAATTGTTCTAAGAGTACAGTTAAATCATGCCAACACATCCTAGCAAGGTTGAAATATTTATAAGTGTTTTAAGCTCAGCTCTTCATAAATCAGGGTGCGGTTGTGTTTCTGATAAGATTTAAAATTCAACAATTTTTAAGAGATGAGCTCACTGTGATTGAATGGCTAATTCAGTATGGTTAGTTACCAACTTGTTACTCCTGAGGTATAATGACCCTAACATGCTAAGCATAGGATCAAATATGTTATTATTGAACTGAGGAAAAATAATGAAGTCATAGACTAGGAAGGGAAGAAAAAAGTAAAAACAAAACAACACAAAATATTCTAGGCATGTGGAAAGTCATGATTTGTAAAAGGACATACCATAAGCATAATAAAAAGCCACAAACGGATCCTCTGATGAGTTGTAAAAATTATGCTGATCAAATTATTTTTGAAACTTTTGAGGTACAGCTTTAGTGTTATAATAATTTTTTATAAAATATAGACTGTTTTATCAAAAATATTTATACATTCTGTTACAATATATTGCTTTTGCCCTCAGTAACTGCCAATATAAAATCTGGATCCAGTGGCCTAAAATGTACAAATGCACTTAATGTAAATGCTGGAGTCTGAGGTGTCTGATTGGCCACTGTACAAAAGTGATGAAGTGGTGAAATTAAATAATAAGCCTACAACACAAAATACATTACAACTATTACATATACATGTTCACAGCATGTATACAAAGACAATCCCTATGGTTTACCAAAGATATAGTTCCCTTCTACAGCAGACACAAAGAATAAGATGAGCTAGGCTGATAAATGTTCAAAAAATGCATATCACAAAAGGGGTCATCAGGTTCACTCATTTTGGAAAAAAATATGACTGAACATCCTGGGTATGTAGACTTTGGGAATGAATGCATGCAGCACACAGTATCTTGGTTCAGGCTGATTAGAAGTCCTCATTCTTAACATTTGAAATAAATGCTGATGTTCCCATTTAGGCCAGCATTGTTCAATAAACAAAGTTGTTTGGCAAGTAGCTCTGTTGGAAAGCTACGAGGCTCTGCTACATGGTAAAGATAAGGCATTTAAAAAAGTTTTCTCCTGATAAATATAGAACATTTATAAAAGACATCAATTCATTGTTTTTCAAAAAAAAAAAATCAAGCCACCAAAGGTGCAAACTGCCACTACATTTTTTGATATTATAGTGATTTCTTTAAAAAAATAAGAGCATTTGCCTCAAAGAGAATCATACTTTATGTGAACAGTAATAGTATTCCAAGCCCTATTTTTTTCTTTTTGTAAAACACAATCAATCAATCTTCTTTCACTTAAGGCAGGCATAGGGCAAAGATAGGGATTATGAAGAGTGGTTCTTCTTTTTCAAAAGATGATTGATCTGAAAGTATTCATTTGCAATTGATTTTCACAGCCAATGTTAAAAACTATTTCCAGTGCCCGTTTACACCGAAGAACACTGAGGAGCCACTTTTCAAGAAGGTATTCAAATGGTACTTTTAAATGTATCTTCATATGTGTTTTTTTTTTTTTAAACTTAGAAGCTGTTGGTAGCACAGAGAGTGAATGAAGGTTGTTATTTTTAAGAGGTCTTCTTGTGAGTCAGTCTGCTTGATTTCACAGTGTCTAGTAACTTAACACCAATCAGCAATGTAGTCAAAATCTCTGAACATTTCTTGTTCCTCTTCTGAAAGTATCCTTGGTTCTCGAGGTGGAGTCAGAATAGGTGCTTCTGAGGTAAATTCATCATCAAAATTGCTAACATCTTCCCGTCCTCTGATAGTAGGTACAAATGGCGGCTTTACTTTTTTGTCCATCAGAGCATTCCAATCAATTAGCTGGATCACAAAATACAAAATGAATCAGTTTAGTTTCAGACTCCTAATTGTGCTGGTTCCATAAAAAAAAAAAAATTTGAATTTTATACTTACCCTGAAAAATGGGTGCTTCTTTACATCCTCTGCATCTTTCTCACCAGCTCCCAGGCGCCTCTCAGGGTTTCTTCTTAACAGCTAACACAACATAAAGTAAGAAAGTTAAAGTAAAACCAGTAAAATAAACTTTATTGACAGGGATTCTCACAGCTTTCAAAGAATTAGATATTTTTTGTTTATATTTGTCTAAACCATGCAACAGCTACAGATTAAATAACGACTAAACTTCTACTGGGAATTTTCCTTCAATCTGAAAATTTTAAGCAGTCCTTTTTTTTTTCTTTTTGTTTTGGTAAGACAGGGTTTTAAACTCAAGGCTTCATACTTGTAAAGCAGGTACTCTACTGATTGGGCCACACTTCCAGTATTTTGTTCTGCTTACTTTGGAGAAGGGATCTTGTGAACTACTGCCTGGGCTGGCCTTGAACCTTGATCTTCCCCATCTGAGCCTCCCAAGTAGCTAGGACTACAGACATGAGTCACAGGCACCTGACTATTTAAGCAGTTTTAAAAAATTCTTACCCTTCTCATTATGGAAATAGCTTCTGTAGATAAAAACCTTGGATACCTTACTTCATCATTTACAATACTGTCAAAAACCTCCTCTTCATCATCACCAGGAAAGGGAGACTAGAAGAGATATTTTTGAGTAAATTAAAACAAATTTCAATATAATAAAAAAATCTTATTGATTCAAAGCACAACCAAGATTCAGGCAGTGAAAAAGAAAAAACAAAATCACAACAACAAAAAACAACAAACAAAAAAGGATTCTAAGAGGTCACAACAGTTGACTTTATTACTAAAGGCTACACCATATATTCTTATTGAAATTTTTTTTTTTTTTGGAGGCACTGAGGTTTGAACTGAGGGCCTCACACTTGCCTAGGCAGGCACTCTTACCTCTTGAGCTACTTAGCCAGCCCTTTACTGAAATCTTGAAATTTATTTTATAGAGCCTATAAAACTTGTTTAAATCAAGTAATTTTTCATTCCATAACATTTCATTCTCTTACTCATCCATGTGACCAGAAACTCAATATTTTAAAAGGGTCTAGAGAACAGTGGGGAATATTTAGATAATAGACACAATTCTTAATAAGAATTATCATGTGGAAAGGCACAGAAAATAGGTAATAAAATATGGTGAATTAAGTGTTTCAATAGAGGGATGAACAGAGTCCGTGGAAATACAGTGAATATAGATGGCTTTGGATTTCAAAGTCATTAGCTTATTAATGGTGGTAAAACAATTAGAGGGAGGAGTGGCTTGAGAGAGGCCCAGAGTTCAAACCCCAGTGATGCCCAAAACCCCTCACAATTAGAGATCAGAAGGCACAATGACTGCAGTAAGAACCAGCTGCCAACAAAATCAGACTGAAAGGAGTTCAAAGAGCACACACTGCCAGGCATATACACAACAGGGCATGTCAGCAAGCACAATGTGAAAATTATTGGTCATGATGACCCTGAATCATAAAAAGTAGCTGCCTTATTCCCACCATGACAGTTTGGCGCACAAATACACTGAAAATGTGGCTATCAAATATAACTTACTGCTTTAGAATTTTGGACGGCCTAGCATTTACTTAATAGTTTTCAAAATCAGGAAAGAAATGTCTAAACATTTAATACCTTAAAATCACTGAAATGAGTCAGTATCTCTAACCTTATTTCTTACTGGCTATTGGAAAAATGTATTCTTATTTAGTCTCAGGTGTAATTTGGCTGTTTGATTCCTATAAGGTATTAAAGAATCAAACTCAAGCAGTATCAATGGAAAGGGAGAAATTTTTAGTTGGGGGGGCTGCAAGTCTCTTTCTGAAACATGTCTCCACAATAAACCCTATGCTGGCATTTGAGTCGTCTCTCCACCTATCTATTCTGTGCCTCTCTTTCAGTCTAACAAGTCAAAATGTAAGGGTGCTTTGCCGTCCTTTCAATAAACTTTGGGCTTGTTTTAAATCTTAAAAAAAAAAAAAAAGGAATGTGTGAAAATGAATTCAGAATCCAACTTTCCAAGGCTGAGTCAATCTCAAAGCTCATGTGTAAGAAAAATTTTAAGCCTTTCAGTTACCAAAATCTTAGCTTGCTTATTCACTCAAAGTACATAAATCAAGATAACTACTATGTGGGAGAATCTAATTTCTTTCAGGGACTGAAATACCAACCAGGAGAAAATTCTATTTTATGAGGTTTCTCAGAATTTCAAGTGGAAATACAGAGTGAGAGATTTTGACTTCTGCTTGAACAACTTTGTACTTGAAAACTGTTATTCTATGTCTTTCAATAGCAAAGAAACGTGTTTATTTGTTAAAATGTTAATAGGACCTTATTTTTGCCAAGAGATTAAAGCTAACAGGGCTAACAACAGAAGGTTAACAAGTATTTTAAGCACATATTAAAAGATCCAATATTCTGTTCAGATTTCAACATTCACAGCCTGTAATGCCAGTGCCCAAGGTTCCTTTAAAACTCTCTTAACATATTCTCTCTAATTTGGCAGGGGAAGAGGGGCCTGGTACTTTAGCTTATTCCTGGAGTCTTTTTGGTCCTCAAAACTATTTGTCTATTTCCACATAAAATACAAATTTGAAAATGCATTATATCTAGTGAGTTTTCAATTATTTGTAATAACAGAGAAAATAAATGTAAACTTAACCCAAGCCACACTTTCACAACTTTAAAAAAAATAAAGTTTCACTAATACTATAAAATTATAAAGTAGACTGATGAATTTCAGTTTGATTCTTTCTCCAGCTACTCTCTTATGGAAGCACTAAAGAAAAGTAAAATAGCAAAAAACAGCTGTAAAGGAATAATAAGATTTATCACCTTTTACATTCTAGGTAATTAAAAGCTCAGTCAATTAGAAGCTCTTTCAAAACCATAAAGCAGTAGCTTCCTCACTGTTCTGATAAACCCAGCAGCGGCTTCAGAATAGGAGGAAGCAGAATCAATAGCTGTTACGATAACCTCACATTTTTGTATGTTATTTTCTAATATGGAAAGTAAATTTTACTTTGGTAAGTTTTGGTAATGCAATTAAATCTCATACTTTTTGAACGCTATATTATTAAAAAAAAAAAAAAAAAAAAAAAAAAAAAGCTGGGTGCCGTGGCTCATGCCTAATAATCTTAGCTACTTGAGAGGCTGAGATCAGGAAGATCAAGGTTCCAGGCTAGCCTGAGACCCTATCTCCAAAATAACCAGAGAAAAATGGACTGAAGGTATGGCTCAAGTGGTAGAGCACCTGCTTTGCAAGTGCAAAGCTTTGGGTCAAACTTCAGTCCGACCAAAAGAAAAAAAAATTATTTTTTAAAATAATTTTATGGAGTTCAAATTATGTCACAGTTTATGGAGACAGGGATTATGAGTCTGCTGGCACTCTTAAAAAGTGAAGACCATTGTGGATTAGGACTAAAATGAATCTTTCTATCCTAAATGCCATATAGTAGGTTTTCTAAATAGAGGTGAAAAATTCAGATATGGACCATTGGTCTTAAAAATAGACATGAGGCTGGAAAATTTAATAACTTTTCCTGGTAATAGTTTCGAAACGGTTCTGAAGCCAGAGTGCCAGGAATTGAAAATTCCACAGGATAGCTGTGTGATTTTAAGAGTTATTAACCTCTTTGTGTTTCCAATTATGCATCTGAAATGGGCATAATGCCAGGATCAAGCTTATTAAATGTTGCTGCAAAAAATGGGCTAATATTTATAAAGCAAATAGACTAGTACACAACACATGTTAAATAATTTTAATTAGTCCTGTTTTCTCTCCTTTTCCAGAGAATCCATTCCAATTTGATATACCAGAAGTGGTTGCCCATTTGGACAACCTAAAATTATTTACTTGTTTGTTCAAGGTAAGTGCCACTAAGTAACAAGCACAGACCAAAACTTTATAAATTTCTCACACTCAAGAATTTGTTGCACTATACTGAAGTTCAAATCCCAGCACCACAAAAAAAAAAGAAAAAGAATTTGTTAATTCATTCATCTAGCAGCTTAAACTATTCATGAAATTGAATGTATAAAGAAGGGTGTTGGTAATGGGAAAACTCTAGGATAATAAACCAATGTAATTTTTCTTTCATCTCCACATCAAGTCCTTCTCAATAGTAGTTTTCAACAATTTGTCAAAAAATTTATTCTTTCCTAATTCTATTCTCATTTATCATTCATAATGATCTATAACATTAGGCATTTATTACCATTATTTGCTTTGTATAACAGTTTTTTTTTTTTTTTGGTACTATACTAGGGTTTAGCTCAGGAACTCACTCTTGCACTACTTGAGTTATGCCTCCAGTCCTTTGGGCCTTGACCCTACCACTGACTCCTGGGTAGTTGGGTAACAGGTGTGTGCCCTATGTCTGGCTTTCTCACTGACTTGTTTATGCCCAGGCTGGCCTCCAACTGTGATCATTCCATCTCCACCTCCCAAGTAGCTGGCATTACAAGCATAAGCTACTGTTTGGCAACAGTTTCTTAAATCATAAACTTCTATGGATAACTCAGTTATTCTTAGAAATTTCCTTGAAGGTAATATAAAGAGAATGTTAATTTTTTAAATGTTGATCCACAGGTTTTGCAGGTAACATTTATTTTTGACCCATGTATGGCTGACTTTTCTTTACAGGTTTACAGTACTTTATTTATTTATTTATTTGAGACAGGATCTTGCTACGTAGCCCAGGCTGGCCTTCCTCAGCCTCCCAAGTGCAGGGATTACACCTGAATGTAGAGTACATTATTTTCACTAGTCTCCCACAATTCTATTTCCTGTGAAATGGTAGAAATATATATGGTTTTAAATATCATAAAGCATAACCATATTACAATACCTAATATAAGGATCTATTTTCAAAGCATTCACAATATATTCCATAGATAACAAAAATCTAAAATAAAATAGTAAAGGTTCTGCAGAAACAGTCAATTATTAACACTACAAATCTTTATATAACTTAAGTTCCACTAATGCAGAAGACCTATTAGGTGCTTTATAAATGTCATGCTTTCAATTATCTTTCCTTTCCTATCTTACCTATTTCCAACTGCTTACCTCACCTACGAGCATTTCATATATAAGTACACCAAGCCCCCACCAATCTACAGCCCTTGTGTAGGATGTTTCTGTTAATACTTCAGGGGCAAGAAATTCAGGAGTGCCACAAAATGTGCTTGTTCTATCTCCATATCCCATTCCTGAAAAAGATAAAATTTAAATTATTTGCTAGCAAGGAAAAAAAAAATCTAGTTTAAATTATTTGTTACCAAAGGAAAAACAACTAGCATAAAAATTAGAAGGTATCCTTAGGAAGCACAATTAAAGTTGCTGTACATGGTGATCAAACTCAGACATATCGACTTTAAAAATTGGTATCGGAGAAACTGTGCAATAGAACATGGGAATTTCATGTTAAAAAACTAGCAATGGCTAGGACAGATTCTAAGAAACAAAAGCACTTAAATAATCAATAGTATCCAATATAGAGAAGCCCAACTAGAGAAAAAAAAAAAACTTTTACTGGGTATAGCAATTAGGAAATCAGAGAGCATGTGATGGAAATAGAAAGTTCACTCACCAAACTATTTATTTTTGAACATTCACTGAATACTTAAGATGTGCCAAGTACTGTGCTATGTATATATGGAAACAAGAACTACCAGCATAAAGGACCAGACAGATGTCAGTTATAATATATTAAATGTAAACTGAAAATACCTTATGTAAAATATATTGGGCATAATGTCCCATACTCACCTCTAATTCTAACAGTACTCCTAAACAAGAAGGACTATATTCACTTTATAGATGAGGAAACAGACTCAACAAGATTAAAAGCAAGTTTTTCAAAGATACACAGCAACCAAGTGGCACAGTCAAAATTCCCAAACATAGGTCTGTCTAAATGGAAGCCTTTGATCTTCCAATTCAAATTTCCTCAGTTTACTTATTTATTTACTTTTAGGTATACAAAAAATAGTCTTGAGATAGTTATATATCTGTATTTTTCCTGTTTAAAGTACTATTAATTCTATGAAGCTGAACAGAAGTTATTAGGCCTATGTAATTCATTCTGCAATCCCTGGAGTATGAACAATTCGGTGCATAATGCTTTCTTAATGTAGTGACAGCATTATTTATATACAAAGAGAATCTTTGTCTCATGCTATCATTTCTGAAGGCTAACCCTATTCATATCCACAGAATAGGGTGGATGTGGAATAGCCTTAATGTAAAAATTATGATTGTATAAGCACAATGTCTTAATGAAGAATAAATTAAAATTAAAGATATATTTTGTTTTCCACATACAAACTTGAAAATTACCAAAGTACAAAGGAATAGTATCTATTGAAAAGAAAATTTAAAACCCATTTTACCTTCTTTGCAAAGACCAAAATCAGCAATTTTCACAAAGCCTTCCGTATCTAGCAATAAGTTATCCAACTTTAAATCTCTGTTCAGGATGAAAACATAAAAAATGAAAAAAATAAGATCAGATCAGATAGCAAAAAAAAAAAAAAAAAAATCAACACGAACCCTTTTTTCTTTTCTGAGGTTTTCCAAGTTACAATCTGAGAATGAAATACTATGTCACAAGCATTAATCTTTCTTTTGTCAAGTTTATTGCTCTATATAGTACAGTATAATTTTCCCTGTCACATTCTTTCATAAGAAAGAATTAAGCTAACAGTATAAATAAGATATTGGGGAAGATTTTACTGAAATAATGAAGAGAAAACTAATTGATTACCAATAAAGCTAGCTGAAAATATTTTACGCTTTCAGTAAAACAGAATCATGAGGAAATCTTTACCTTACATTGGTTGAAGCCCGAACAAACCAGTGTTTACATAGTCTCCTAACTGTGACTAGCTTTCTCATAATTTGCTTGGTCTTGAAGCGCTGTTATTCAATCTAATAATCTGTCAGGTACAAAGCAGTGCTACTCAAAGTGTGGACTACAGACTAGTTGCTGGGCCATGAGTCTGCAATTTGATAAGAAACTTGTGCCAGTATATAAACTGGCTATGTCACCAATTCATTGCTTAGTTCAGATGACAGCAAGACATTTTTGATTAAAAAGAAAAAAAATGGGTGTGTGTGTGCTGGGGTTTGAACCCAAAGCCAAACATACTAGGTGAGCACTCTTTCACTGAGCTCCATTCCTGGTCCTTGAAACTTCTTATTGAAGGAAGTACTGTGTGATGGTTTACACTCTGGCACAAGCTACTCAGGATCCTGTTAGTACAGGATACTGTACTAACTAACTCTTCTAACTAACACTGTTCTAGTACATAGATGTTTTCAGTAGTGGATTATATGAATGCAAAATATTCATTAGGATGGATATTGTTGGCGAACTGTGTCACAGGCCAGCTTGTTTTGATCAGGAAATGGGCAGAGATCAGAACCAGGAAGTCATCATGTAATTATGATGCTGACCATGCATCTTTTAAAACTGGGATTTAACTTTTTTAGAGCTCACTTATCACTTGAAGGTGAAAATTAAGAAGCTGATTAAACATAACACCCTTCTCAATTATCTTTAATTTTCATTCACACCAGAGCTATTAGAAATAGTAAAATTTACTTACCTATAAACAATTTTATGTTCATGTAAATATTGCAACCCAAGAACTACACATGCAGCATAAAATCTGTTTGAAGAATTAAAATAAGTTTAATAAACTTCACTGCTCTTGAATCCCAGTTTATATTTTTATGCTTCAAAACACAACTCTGTAGTTGGTTAAGTTCACAAATATTTATTTCCCCTTTACTTTACACATTATGCTAGATATTGTGGGTAAAATAAAAAAATTTAAAAAGTACAGTTTGACAATCGAGACCATTTTGCTTGGTACAGTCACTGAGGATCCTAAGAGAGGACATTTAATCAGGTTTTGTAGGAAGAATTAGAAAGTGCTATAAGAATGGAAAGACAGAGTGATAGGTAGAAGTTTTGTGGGGGAAATATAGGGTATTACTGAAGAGGGAAAAAAGAAAAGAGGCATGAAAGACATATATGTTTGACAACTAATCATGCATTTGGTGTGGCTAAAGCATAGGATGCTTTAAAGAAATAACATTAGGCTGAAAACACAGCTTGGGGGAAGGATTTCGAATGTTGTCTTCTAGATACTGCAGTCTCTTCTCATACGGATAGGAATCAATTTTAATCAGGGGAGAAGGCTTACATTTATGTTAGGGAAATTTTTCTGACAGCAGTGTGAATGTTGGAGTAGAAGTAGAGATCAAGAGGAGAAAAAGAACAGATAAGGCTTTTATGATAGAACAGATAACAGATAATGAGAATATCCAATGTGGCAGCAACAAAGAGACTATAGCAGTAGCCAAGTTTTATTAGGAAAGTGAGTTTGTCTTTACACATGTTAATCTGAATTTTCTGCAGGGCAGGTAACAAAAATCTAGAAGTTGGATTCATGGGTTTATATCTCAGGAGAATTTGGGCCTACATAGACTACTGAAGTCTTGAAGCATGGGGCCATGTTTGTCTTTTCCAGTTTTTATCCCCAGTGCAAAGTACAATGGCTGACTCTTGGCGGGCTTACTAAAGAAAGGGGAGAATAAATAAACCAATGAATTTTAAGATGCAAAGCTATAAAGAGACACTTAGGAAAACTAGCTGTTAATTATACAATAATGAGTAAAGTACATATAATACCCTTCCCAGTACAATATTTTATTCATCATCTATCTGTCTCATCCCAACTCTACTGCCATCTATATAAAGAAAATTTCTCGTCAGTTTGGTGAACATTCTAAATTTTCACATGTAGATAATATAGCTTATGTTTTGCATTTACTGTATTTTTATAAAAATGGGACAATAATTTGGAAGAATTTTAAAGATCCAACTATTAGAAATATCTATATGAATATACATTAGATCTTATGTAATAACATCAGAAGTTTAAAGAATTTATCTAAAGTTTGTTAAAATGTGATTCTAAAACTGCATAATATAGTCTTTATAACATATCTTTAGCAAACATTTTGGTGGCAAGACAATACTGTAACAATTATAAGAATATTTTGATTTCTCATTTTTTTATATAAAAAAAACTGCCCTGATTATACTGAACATAAAATAACTGAATACATATCTAACATATATTTCACTTTGTCAGGTATTATGTTAGTATTTTCATTAATAAGTTTATTTAATCTTCAAATCAAGCTTAAGCTATTTATAGAAGCAGAAAATGAAGTTCAGAAAGAGAAACTAATTTGTCTAACATCAAACAGCTGGGAAACAGCAAAGATACGAAGTGAGCTATTTTGATTCCATAGTTTCCATTGATAAAAATTCAGAATGCCTAGTTTATGTACTCATTCAGGTGTTTCAGTAGTCAAAAGGACAAATATGGTATTTGCTCCTTCTGTTTGGTGGAAGAAGTCAGACAATAAACATGCTAAAAGTAATTAAGACCCTGTCTTCAAAGAAAAAAAAAAAGAGGCCAGGCATTGGTGGTTCACACCTGCAATCTTAGCTACTTGGGAGGCTGAGACTGGGAGGATCTCAGTTTGAGGCCAGCTTGGGCAAATAGTTTGCAAGACCCCATCTCCAAAACAGCCACTGCAACATGAACTGGAAGTGTGGCTCAATGGTAGAGGTCTTGCTTTGCAAGTTTGAAGCCTTGAGCTCAAATCCCAGTCTCCCCCACCCCCTGCCAAATACAAGAATTTGATAATTTTGGTAATGAAGTCATATAAAATAGAAACGAGGATAAAGCTACCTGATTTGGAGGTTAGTAATGTGATATTTTAGATAGGGAATCCTGAAAGAAATGTTGCAATGTAACCTTTTATTCTTCCATTTCATTGGGCTTAACTGTTTCTGCTTTAAGACAGAACTATATTTTATACTTCTTTAAAAAAACAAAAACATGCATAACACAACAAAAAGAATTTCCATGGCAGGTAACACAAGACTAAATATAGTCTAAATGCCGTGCTTTAATTATTTGTTTCTTTGCTATATTTTAAGACAGAATCTCACTATGTAGCCCAGGCTGGTCTTGACTTGGCGATCCTCCTGCCTCCACCTCCTGAGTGCTATGATTCTAGGTGTGTGCCACCATACTCAGCAATCTTGTAATTTTAAAAATACATTCATTAATTTTCTCTTTCACTCATGCATTTACAGGTTCTTGCTATGTAGCCTGTGATGGCCTGGAACTTACTAGATAGTTCAGGCTGGCCTTGAAGTCATGATCTTCCTGCATTAGCCTCCACAATTCTGGGATTACAGCTATGTGCTACTATGCCCAGCTACTCTGCTTTAAATTTTTTAAGTATTCAGGGAATGATTAGTAGCTTTCTAGTGCTTTCTGATTTCTAACTCTTTTCTGAATGATTCACTATCCATCAGAATTAATTTCCTCATTTGAAACTTGAAGACTGTAACAGTACTACTACTAATGGTTATAATGAGAATCAAATAAAGTGAAAATACTACGCAAATGTCAGTCGATATTTCATCAGAATACAGAAAAAAAAAAAAAGACCAAAAATGCAAGAGTAAAAACCAATAAAGGTACATTTAGGTTTACATCTTCTATGATTTAGGTATATTTTGGAGATAGAACTGACTGGGCTTGTTAATAGATACTGCAGGTGAGGGATAGAACTGACTGGGCTTGTTAATAGATACTGCAGGTGAGGGAAAGAGGATCAAGAATGACTCACTGCATTCTACCTTGATCAAGTAAATGATACTGCTGTTGAACAACATGAGAGAGACTAGAAGAGTAGTGGGCCTGGGGAGTGGAAGGTAATATGGAGAGGAAATGGGAAAAAAAATCAGGAAATCAGTTTGAGATGCTAAATGACACTCTTACTAACCTTACAAACAGAAAAGTTGGCCTGGAGCTGAATACTATGAGTTGGAAGGTTAGGACTGGAGATATAAATTTGGTAACTGTCAGCAGGTAGGGTTGTAGCTATTAGGAATACCTCCCTAGGTTCAAATCCTAGCTCTTCTACGTAAGAGCTATAAAACTGGAATAGCAGGGAAAATAAATATACACACTGTACATTCATCCGTAATCCCTATATAGTATGTATTATTCTCACCTTTATCCATCTGAATAAACAAAACTTCAATACACTATTAAATTTTAAAAGTACAAAAAGGGTTTATAGTGAAAAGTCTGCTGTCTGCCCCTTTCCTTAGAGGCAACGTGTATAGAGGCTGAGCATCCCTAATTCAAAAATCTGAAATCTTCCCAGAAGGCTTCAAAAGCTGAAACTTTAAGTTATTGGGGTTTGAACTCAGGGCCTCATGCTTGCTAGGCAGGTGCTCTACTACTTGCACCACTCCACCAGCCCCAAATCTAAAACTTTTGGAGCACAAACAAGACACTTCAGACTGAGGGAAGGTGGTGCATGCCTATAGTTCCAGCACTCAGGAGGCTGGTTGATGAAGGAGGATCACGAAGTTTCAGGCCAGTCTGAGCCACATATGGTTGAAGCTGGTGTAGGTTACACAGTGAGACCATCAATAAAAAATGCTTTGGATCTTTGAGAATTTCAGACTTTGAGATTAGGGATGCTCTACCAGTAAAGTCCATGCAAATTTCAAAATCTGAAAAATTTTAAAACCTGAAACACTCTGGTCCTAAGCATCTCGGGGAAGGGATAGTTAATCTATACCTGTTTCCTTTATAGTCTTTTGGAGGTATGATAAGCAAAAGCGAGTGAATACTTGACACATATTCTTTTAAAATTACCCCTTAAAATGCGAACACAAATATTTTATATAAATATGTATATTTATATAAAACTCTTCTGTATTCTTCAAAAAATGTGTTTTTAAAACATATACTTCGAGTATAATTCGTCTTTAAAGTTATGGTCCTTGGATGTCATTTCCTAGGGAGAAAACCTAATAGCAAAAAAGAAAAAAAATTACTAAAATGAACCTAACTTGTGCATCTAAATTATCAACTATGATTTAGGGTAATCCATGAAATTTTCCACATGGACAATGGAGTTAATAATACAAAAGTATTTGGCAAAAAGGTAAGTAAGGAATTATAATATATAGGGCCGGATTTTCCTTTACAGAAACAAAAGTTATCTAAAGTTCATAGAAAGCTTTTTATTCTCAGAGAGATCAGTAATGGAAAATCTGAGTCAAATGTCTAAAGCATACTCACACAGCTCTTGGTTCAGAAAAGACATCAGTATGAATGTGCATCATTAGGTCCCCACCGGCAGCATATTCCATTACAAAGCAAACATGCTCTTTGGTTTGGAAACATGCAAAAAGGTTCACCAAAAAGGGATGCCTTACACTATTCACAGTTTCAAAAATTCTTTTTTCACACATCAGGCTGTAAGAGAAAATATTAAAAATGAATACGTTCTTTAAAAAATCCTAGGTGGAAATAACATTCTTCACAAATTACTATACTTTAAAGCAAAAACTGAGCAATTATCACTTTAAAATTGTGCGTGTCTTTTGCAATACAGTCTTTGAAAACTGTTCTACTTGATGTATATTTAAATACAAACATTTAAATTTAATTGAAATCTATTAATGAAAACTAAAATATACTTAGCATGAGATAAAAATTACAGAATTCACATTGATAGTATCAAAATAGCACAAATATGGCTAGTAGTTATAATATTTTAAAAATGGCTCAATTAGGGGTGAATTATGAGAATTCGATCAGGAACTGATCAGATATTTTAGTAACCTAGAGCATATTTTCAAAAATTTAGCCAGGTATGGTATCACTATGACTGTAGGCCTAGCACTCAGAGGTTGATGCCAGAGATACTGAGTTTGAGGCCAGCCTGGGCTACAGAGAGACTCTGTCTTTAAATAAATAAAATTTATAATCCAGGTAACATCAAGAATAGTATTTATAATTTATAAGCTATGGCATTCAAATTTTTGTCACATAAAGTATGAGGCTGAAAGGTATGGCTATGCTGGGTACAATCCCAGTCCCTGGGAGGTGGAGATAGGAGGCCTAAAGTTCAGGCCCGCAGGGCAAAAAGTAAAAACGTTAGTAAGACCTTATCTCAAAGAACAAGCCAGACCTCCTGATGGTGCACACTTATAATCCCAGCTCTGCAGGACACACAAACAGAAGGATTGTAGTCTGAGGCCGGCCCTGAGCAAAAAAATCAGTGCAATACCCTACCTGAAAAATAACTGAGCAAAAAGGGCCAGGGTTGTGGCTCAAGAGGTACAGTACCTGCTTAGCAAGCAAAAGATCAGAGTTCAAATCCCAGTACTGCAAAAACAAAACAAAACAAAACAAAACAAAAACCCAAAACCAAAACCACTTTTTTTTTAAATCATGAAGAATGACTGGAAAATAAATAGGCTATATGGAGAATTCCACAACATGCTTCAAGGGAGTTCTCTGAAAATGATATAAATCAGAAAAATCTATAGCAACCCTTGTAAGAACTAAGAAAAGTTACTACGCACCCAGTTTCATCAAACATACCCTGAAAGACCTAAAAGCATATATATACGCCAACACAGTGGTTGTGGGAGACTTTAACACTCCATTATCATCAATAGATAGGTCATCCAAACAAAAACTCAATAAAGAAATCCAAGATCTAAAATATGCAATAGATCAAGTGGACCTAGTAGATGTCTACAGAACATTTCATCCAACCTCTACACAATATACATTCTTCTCAGCAGCCCATGGAACCTTCTCCAAAATAGATCATATCCTAGGGCACAAAGCAAGCCTCAGCAAATATAAGAAAACAGAAATAATACCGTGCATACTATCTGACCACAATGCAGTAAAAGTAGAACTCAACAACAAAAGTAAAGACAAAAAACATGCAAACAGCTGGAAACTAAATAACTCATTACTTAATGAAGAATGGATCATCGATGCAATAAAAGAGGAAATTAAAAAGTTCCTGGAAGTCAATGAAAATGAAAACACAACCTAACCTATGGGACACAGCTAAGGCAGTCTTGAGAGGAAAGTTTTTATAGCCATGAGTGCATATATTAAAAGATTGAAAGATCCCAAATCAATGACCTAATGATACATCTCAAACTCCTAGAAAAACAAGAACAAGCAAATCCCAAAACAAATAGAAGGAGAGAAATAATAAAAATAAGAGCTGAAATCAACGAAATAGAAACCAAAAAAACCATACAAAGAATTAATGAAACAAAAAGTTGGTTCTTTGAAAAAATAAACAAGATCGATAGACCCCTGGCAAACCTGACTAAAATGAGGAGAGAAAAAACCCAAATTAGTAGAATCAGGAATGCAAAAGGGGAGATAACAACAAACACCATGGAAGTCCAGAAATCATCAGAGACTACTTTGAGAACCTATATTCAAATAAATTTGAAAATCTAAAAGAAATGGACAGATTTTCTAGATACATATGATCATCCAAAACTGAACCAAGAGGAAATTAATCACCTGAATAGACTATAACACAAAATGAAATTGAAGCAGCAATCAAGAGTCTCCCCAAAAAGAAAAGTCCAGGACCTGATGGATTCTCTGCTGAATTCTATCAGACCTTTAAAGAAGAACTGATACCAACCCTCCTTAAACTGTTCCACGAAATAGAAAGGGAAGGAAAACTGCCAAACACATTTTATGAAGCCAGTATTACACTTATCCCAAAACCAGGCAAAGACACCTCCAAAAAGGAGAACTATAGGCCAATCTCCTTAATGAACATTGATGCAAAAATCCTCAACAAAATAATGGCAAACCGAATTCAGCAACACATCAAAAAGATTATTCACCACGACCAAGTAGGCTTCATCCCAGGGATGCAGGGGTGGTTCAACATACGAAAATCAATAAACGTAATAAACCACATTAACAGAAGCAAAGACAAAAACCACTTGATCATCTCAATAGATGCAGAAAAAGCCTTTGATAAGATCCAACATCATTTCATGATAAAAGCTCTAAGAAAACTAGGAATAGAAGGAAAGTTCCTCAACATTATAAAAGCTATATATGACAAACCTACAGCCAGCATTATACTTAACGGAGAAAAATTAAAACCATTCCCTCTAAAATCAGGAACCAGACAAGGATGCCCACTATCTCCACTCCTATTCAACATAGTACTGGAATTCCTAGCCAGAGCAATTAGGCAAGAAGAAGGAATAAAAGGAATACAAATAGGTAAAGAAACTGTCAAAATATCCCTATTTGCAGACGACATGATCCTATACCTTAAAGACCCAAAAAACTCTACTCAGAAGCTTCTAGACATCATCAATAGCTATAGCAAGGTAGCAGGATATAAAATCAACATAGAAAAATCATTAGCATTTCTATACACTAACAATGAGCAAACGAAAAAGAATGTATGAAAACAATTCCATTTACAATAGCCTCAAAAAAAATCAAATACCTAGGTGTAAACCTAACAAAAGATGTGAAAGACCTCTACAAGGAAAACTATACACTTCTGAAGAAAGAGATTGAGGAAGACTATAGAAAGTGGAGAGATCTCCCATGCTCATGGATTGGTAGAATCAACATAGTAAAAATGTCGATACTCCCAAAGTAATCTACATGTTTAATGCAATTCCCATCAAAATTCCAATGACATTCATTAAAGAGATTGAAAAATCTACTGTGAAATTTATATGGAAACACAAGAGGCCACGAATAGCCAAGGCAATACTCAGTCAAAAGAACAATGCAGGAGGTATCACAATACCTGACTTCAAACTATATTACAAAGCAATAACAATAAAAACAGCATGGTACTGGCACAAAAACAGACATGAAGACCAGTGGAACAGAATAGAGGATCCAGATATGAAGCCACACAACTATAAGCAACTTATCTTTGACAAAGGAGCTAAAAATATACGATGGAGAAATAGCAGCCTCTTCAACAAAAACTGCTGGGAAAACTGGTTAGCAGTCTGCAAAAAACTGAAACTAGATCCATGTATATCACCCTATACCAAGATTAACTCAAAATGGATCAAGGATCTTAATATCAGACCCCAAACTCTTAAGTTGATACAAGAAAGAGTAGGAAATACTCTGGAGTTAGTAGGTATAGGTAAGAACTTTCTCAATGAAACCCCAGCAGCACAGCAACTAAGAGATAGCATAGATAAATGGGACCTCATAAAACTAAAAAGCTTCTGTTCATCAAAAGAAATGGTCTCTAAACTGAAGAGAACACCCACAGAGTGGGAGAAAATATTTGCCAATATACATCAGACAAAGGACTGATAACCAGAATATACAGGGAACTTAAAAAACTAAATTCTCCCAAAACTAATGAACCAATAAAGAAATGGGCAAGTGAACTAAACAGAACTTTCTCAAAAGAAGAAATTCAAATGGCCAGAAAACACATGAAAAAATGCTCACCATCTCTAGCAATAAAGGAAATGCAAATTAAAACCACACTAAGATTCCACCTCACCCCTGTTAGAATAGCCATCATCAGCAACACCACCAACAACAGGTGTTGGCGAGGATGTGGGGAAAAAGGAACCCTCTTACACTGTTGGTGGGAATGTAGACTAGTACAACCACTCTGGAAAAAAATTTGGAGGCTACTTAAAAAGCTGACATCGATCTACCATTTGATCCAGCAATACCACTCTTGGGGATATACCCAAAAGACTGTTACTCCAGAGGCACCTGCACATCCATGTTTATTGCGGCACTATTCACAATAGCCAAGTTATGGAAACAGCCAAGATGCCCCACACTGACGAATGGATTAAGAAAATGTGGTATCTATACACAATGGAATTTTATGCAGCCATGAAGAAGAACGAAATGTTATCATTCGCTGGTAAATGGATGGAATTGGAGAACATCATTCTGAGTGAGGTTAGCCTGGCCCAAAAGACCAAAAATCGTATGTTCTCCCTCATATGTGGACATTAGATCAAGGGCAAACACAACAAGGGGATTGGACTATAGCACATGATAAAAGTGAGAGCACACAAGGGAGGGGTGAGGATAGGTAAGACACCTAAAAAACTAGCTAGCATTTGTTGCCCTTAACGCAGAGAAACTAAAGCAGATACCTTAAAGCAACTGAGGCCAATAGGAAAAGGGGACCAGGAACTAGAGAAAAGGTTAGATCAAAAAGAATTAACCTAGAAGGTAACACCCACGCACAGGAAATCAATGTGAGTCAATGCCCTGTATAGCTATCCTTATCTCAACCAGCAAAAACCCTTGTTCCTTCCTATTATTGCTTATACTCTCTCTACAACAAAATTAGAAATAAGGGCAAAATAGTTTCTGCTGGGTATTGAGGGGGGGAGGGAGGGGGGCGGAGTGGGTGGTAAGGGAGGGGGTGGGGGCAGTGGGGAGAAATGAACCAAGCCTTGTATGCACATATGAATAATAAAAGAAAAATGAAAAAAAAAAAAAAAAAAGTTACTAAAAAAAAAAAGTGCTCAAACTTAATGACTGTGAAATATTAAAAGAAAGACATTAAGAAAACAATTCTTTCTTCCTCTGAAAATACTTGGTAAATTAATTTTGCTTAAAACTCAAAAAAGAAGAAAACCAGATCAAATATTGTTCAAGAAAAACCTACATTAGCTTGCTTTTTTTTAGTACCTGGTCAAAATAAAGATTAATAGACATACTTTAGTAACAATTAGGTTATATGTATGCTTCTAATATGAAATAGGCACTGTTTCTGTTTCTATCTGTGAGGCGTGGAACCAGACACTGACATAAATTTTTTGGGAGGTGGGGCAGTACTGACTGGGGTTTGAACTCAGGGCCTCACACTTGCTAGGCAGGTGTGTTTAGGTAACCACCTAAGCTATATCCCCCACCTCTTTTTTTGCTTTATTTTTCAGATAGGGTCTTGAGTTTTGCCCAGGGCAGGCCTTAGACTTTGATCCTCCTACTTACAGCCTTCCACATAGCTGGGATCATAGAAGTGCACCATCTCATCTGGCTTACTGGTTGAGATGGAGTCTTGCTAACTTTTTGCCCAGGCTGGCCTCAAACTACTATCCTTTCCTCTTCACCTCCCCAAGTAGCTGGAATTATAGTACTGTTTCTGATAGAAACAGAAACAATGCCTATTTCATATTAGAAGCATACATATAACCTAACTGTTACTAAAGTATGTTTGTTTTTAAAAAGTTATGTTTAATGTTTTTAAATGCTTAGATACTGTTTTTGGTGGTGGTTGTTCCAAACAGTGCTGTAGCATTCCAAACACAAACTAAAATCCTGATGTTATAGGGAAGCAATATTAGTCTTTCCTGTTGGGTCTTTTAAGAGTTAATTAAAAAAACCAACAGATAAATAGTATTTATTTCAGTATAGAGATTACACTGCAAATGACTTGAAAAATTAAACCAGATTTGGACAATATTTAAGAATCATACATAAACATAGCATTTCTAATGTTATATTAATGTAATGTTTTTCTGGATCATGAGCTAAAACACTTGTTTTATTTTAAATACTGAAAATAAATGCAGCTACTATGATACACAGTGTCACATTCTAGATAACTCCTATCACTGATTCACTCAAGGTATTTTATGTTCCCCCCCTCCTCCAATGCAGTACTGGTGAATGTCTGCCAGGCAAGTGCTTTGCCACCTGAGCTACGTTCCAGCCCTTACTGCTTTAGTTATTTTCAGGAAGTGTCTTGCACTTTTGCCCAGGGCTGGTCTCAGACCATGATTTTCCTACCTATGGATCAGAGGTGCACACCACCATATGCAGCTTATTGGTTGAGATGGGGGCTTGCTAAGTTTTGCTTAGGCTGGCCTTGAACCATGATCCTCTTCATCTCTGCCTCCCAAGTATTGGGATTACAGGTATGAACCACTGTGAGCAGCCTATTTATTTTTTCTTTTACACAGGGTCTAACTATGCAGGCCAGGCTAGCCTTTAACTCATGATTCTTCTGCCTTGGCCTGGTAATATAGGCATGGTCACCATACCCAGTATGGCTTTTTTTTGGTGGCACTGGGGCTTGAACTCAGGGCCTCATGCTTGCTAAGCAGGTGTTCCACCATTTGAGCCAGTCCGCCAGCCCCCAGACCATTTTAAATTTTAGATATACTCATATATCCACATTGTGATTTTTTTTAAGCTTTAAGCTTATATCTACACAATTTTTTTAAATTGGAAAAATCTCTAAATGTTACTATGAATTGTTATTACAAATAAACCCATCAAGTTTGTTTTAGAAAAGAGTTAATAGTTTTGATTTTTTGTCACCATTTAAATTTGCTGCAAAATAATGTCCTAAAATTCTTTGAGCAAGATGTCAGAATGGATTCTAAAATACCTGTTTCACTAGATCAATCTAAATTTTGGAACAAATATTCTAGAAATATATACTAAAAACCAAAAGAACAAAACAATACAAAACAAAATAACAACAAAAATTAACACTGCTGAGGACCTGCTGGCAATCCCAACACTCAGGAGGACAAGGCAAGGGGACTGCAAATTTAGGCCAGCCTCAAAGTTTCAAGAGTAAGAAATGAAACCCCCTCTTAGGGGAATATAAGGAAGCAGGAAAAAGGAGTAATTTTAAATTTCTAGCATAGCTAGAGGAAAGCATGAAAAAGAAATAATTTTAAAAAAACAGCTGGTGGCTCATGCCTGTAATCCTTGCTACTCAGGAAGCAGAGATCAGGAAGACTGCAGTTTGAAGCTAAGTCATGGCAAAACAGTTGAGAGTCCCTATCTTGATAAAAACCCTTCACAAAAAAGGACTGGCAGAGTGACTCAAGTTGTAGGCCCTGAGTTCAAACTCCAGTACCGCAAAAAAAAAAAAAAAAAAAAAGGCCACCCTTTTTTTGAGACAGGGTTTACTAGGAAGCTCAGGCTGGTCTTAAATTTGATATCCTACTGCCTCTTCTTCCTGAGTGTGGGAATTTCAGGAGTACACCACTATACCACACCTGTACTTATTCTAAGAACTACTCATATGGTGGAAAAGATATTGAAAGTAGCAATTTAACTCAGTAAGATGCTCTGTCACAATCAAGATTAGGAAAGTCAGTCCTCTAACTCATAGTTTAGGGCTCTTTTCATTACACAAGGTTGCTTTCCATTAATATCCAAGAAGCGTTCTAGTAGTATAAGAAAAATACTATACAATGTCAAGTGAAATCCTGAGTGATAAAATGTCATTTTTTACAATAACTTCCATTTTATTTGCATTAATTAAAACTCTTTGTAAGGTAAGGTCCTACAGTTAAAAAAGTGATTTAAAAAAAACAAAGGTGCATTTCAAAAAGCAGAACGTTAACCCTTCGGTTAACTGCAGCTTATCTGCAAATGACATTTTATTATTTCCGTAAAATAAATTTGGATTAGCCTTACTGAACCACAAATGAGTAACAGTTCAACATAAACACTTTAGCATCTCCATTTATGAAAGTTTTATGGAATTAGTTTACAGATCCCATTGTCTTTCCTTGGTGTCCACTCACCAGTTGTCATAAAGGAAAAAAGGAAGTGGGAAGAGAGAAAAACAGAATTTAACTAGTATCTACTTTAGGGCAAGATACATTTACTTACTTAATTTCTTCAATTACTATGAAATTAAGAAACTCTTGCTGTTTTGACATATGCATAATAATTGTGTTTTTAAAAACTAACCTGTCTACTTCGTCTCGAGCTACAATGTCTCCTTTTTTTAAAGCTTTTATAGCAAACATCTCATTTGTGTGTTTATATTCAGCCAAAAGCACCTGAAATGAGATTAAAATAATTATTTCCCATTTGACCTACTAATTTTGTAGGTATTTCAAAAAATTCTGGAAGATTACCTTTCCAAAATGTCCTCTTCCCAAGACAGCACAACATCTGAAGTCTTGCAGATTAAACTGAAACCTCTGCTGAGATCTAAAGACAGTAATTTCAATTAAAAATGAGTCAATAATGTATGGTACCAAATATGTGATACCAAAACACTGCATGTACTGTTTACCTTCTATCCTCGAGTTCTCGAATACCACTATATCCTAGACCTGTCTCAGGAATATCAAGCTCATATTCAGATTGGGATTTTGGAAGTATATCATTTCGGTCATTTTCAATATCAAAAACAGTTTCTGAATCCTGTAAAATATTAAATGATCATTAAACCACACAAAAAGTCAGAAAACAACTTACATGGTAATCATAAAGTTGAAAAAAATTCTAAAAGTCAATATAAATAATAAAAAATTTCAGATACTAATACCTTATATTATGCCATGTAATTTTACTTTAACACTTATCTAAAAATGTGAAAATAATACAATATTAAACATCTTCAATTGCATACTGTTAACCAAGTACAAGATATAGTGCTTCAGTCAACGTGACAACAGTATCGGACAAGTTCTATGCTCCTTCTGGCCAAAGCAAGCCTATTTCATTCTTTGGCCTGTGAGCATCCAGAGGCTAAAGACAATGGCGTGTCAACACTAAGAACTTGGTTATTTTCTGAGAATTTGTCTAGTTTGTTGAGATAGTTCATTCACAAGGAATATAAATAACAGTTCATAGAGGCAATTTAAATTGAACGGTACAACTTTAATTGACTTATGGTATCTTTACTGCTAACTCATTTGGGTAAAAAAGGAATTATACAAGGTTGTAGACTGGCCTTGCCTGTCAGGTGTATCCAACGCTCTTACTTCAGAAGATTCGTCTACTTCTCCAAGGGAAGCGGCTCGTGGTGGGGCTGGAGGAGGCTCAGGCTCAAGATCAAAGTCCAATTTGGTTACCGTAGAATCACTTATAGAGATAAAGTAAGTTATCAAAACAGCAATCAAAAGTATTTACTGTAAATATCTTTAAAATAAAAAATAAACTAATTTAAAAAAATTAATGCATCACATATTTCAAAATACTACTTGGAAAACACTGAGACTCTCAGTATAACCACTGGGATCATTATGTAAGAACGTCACGGAAACTACTTTATGTGAGATATACTTAAACCTCTTAGATACATACCTAGCTGCTGGTGCCAGCTCAGGGATGCGTACATCAACCACTGACACTGTAGCAGGCACAGAAGCTTGAGGGCTGAAGGTGCCAGAATGATTTACTGTAGGAATCGCTCGTCTCACTAGCCTGCCCCAAGTGGCAATATTAATATTCATTTGAGGAGCTCTGAGAAATGTTTTGCCTGTAGATATTGTGAATAAAGAAAACAGAAGAAGTAATTTCTTTATATATTACTACCAAAAGTTGTAATTTAAAAATTCATATTCATCAGTTTGTAATTTATGAAGAACAAACAAAACTTGTCACTAAAAAATACTAGCTCTTAACTATTTGCTATTAAAGGCTAGGGCAAACAGTATAAACAGTTTTAAAAATAAATAGATATGGAACTATTATGGTTTTTCACTTACACCTCATGGTGAAATGTGGTTAAAGTTTTAAAAAGAATCTTTATCTTTTAGAGGTACAAGTTATAGTATCTATAGATGAATCAAGGATGTCTGGATTTGCTTCAAATAATCTGAGAAAGCAGTGAATGGACAGGATAAGATAAAAACAAATTGGCCATGAATTTGTTACTGTTGAAACTGAGTGATGGTACATTGTACTCCATATAAGGACACACTCCCTTAATAAAACATTGGAAATAAATGAACATCTAAAATAGGAAACCACAGATGGATATTACTTTTAGAATAATAATTACATTTTAAATATTTAGTAAAACACTAAAAAGTTTGCATTTTATTCTTAGTAAATACCTTGTTGTTTTGAAAAAATTTTCTTTTGTCTTTGGAGTTTTGGTCTTCTTTCGATAACTGGATTAAAAAAGGTAACCTGTAGTGAAGAAAATTCAAGTTGACATAAAATAACATTGGATTTATATTTCACAAAATTCACTAAACTCGTAAGATTCAAAGCTTAAGAGAATCTCAGCTATAATTTAGTACAACCTCCTTATTTTCCAGATGAGAAAACAGACCTAGAGAGGATAAATGATTTTTCTCAAGGTCACACACCTATTCAATGGCAGATTTCAGTCAAGAATTCAAGTCATCTGTCTTTCAGCCTAACATTCCTTCCACTTCTACATCATGTGGCCTACATACATAATTTCAATTGTAGCTATGCATATTTAATAAAATACATTTATTACCTCTGCAAATAAAGTACCCTGTGGTTCCAAATAGAGACACATGCCATGCCGTTGGTTGTCTAAAAAATCTTCTAACCTCAGAAACTTTACAGCACATAGAGATCGCCAATCACGCCAATAAACTGAAATTTCCAGTTCACGTGACTAGGATAATTAAAAACAAAAAATAAAACAGAAAAGACATCATTGGACGTACACTTGAATAAAGTTTCACAAAAAATATGAAATATAAATACAATGAAAGTAACACACAAAGATCACACTATTTTAAATAAAATATTCTGATTCTCTCAATTGTACATTACTTTAACACACACATTTTTAACTCAAAGAAACACTGTATTTAGACAGTCTCTGGGCTAAGGTTATTTCTGAAGTATACTTTAAGAACACATACTGAGGACAATCAAGATATATGAAAGACCACAGAAACTCCTCTCCTACTTTTTTTTTGTGGAACAGGGCTTTTTGAACTCAGGGCTTTAGGCTTGCGAAGCAGGCACTCTACCGTTTGAACCATACCTCCAGTCCATTCTGGTTATTGTGGAAATGGGGGTCTCACAAACTATTTGCCCAGACTGGCCTTGAACTACAATCCTTCTGATTTCAGCGTCCCAAGTAGGTAGGATTACAGGCAGCTCTAATATTTCAATTTCCCTCCTCCATGTGCCACCACTTGCCTCAAAGAACCTGTATGTTAGAACTTATTTCCTAGTCCTACTTTAGAGCCACAGAAAGATCTGTAAATGACATTTATTCTGCACTTAGAATGTGCCGCACACTGCGCTAAGCACTTTAAGATTAGGTCATTTAATCTTCAAAAGACTGCCACTGGGTAACAAGACTTGCAAGTGCAGCAATCTGCATAGGTAGGGAGAAAAGGAGGAAGCTCGCACTATGCTTTGTACAATGTTAATTTACTACAACACCAATACAGAGAAAGATATGGGGGGAGGGGCAGGGAGAGGAGGGAAGGAGGAGGAGGGGAGGGGAAGAGAGGGGAGAGAGAAAGAAAGAAAAGAAATTAGTAAAATCTCAGGGACAAGTATTTATACCATACATGAGAGAATACTCTGTGGTCATTAAAGATAATGCCTACATGGGGAAACATTCAAGGTTTTAACAACCCATTACTAAATGCACCTGTAGAACATGGTTTATAAGTTGAGGTCAAACAGTAAACTGAACTCTACATGGATGTTATAATCTAAATACACTTTAAAAGTACCAGACTCTTCCACTGTTTTATTTTTCAGGATTATATGGAACCACAAAAAGAGAAATTTATTTCCCTTTAGGTTCTACATAGTAATAAATTACTTCTTTATATAGCAACTTTCAATTTATAAACTTATACATCTTATTATGTTAAGTTCCTAGTATACATAATAAAAATTTGACTTTAAATTGTAAAACTAACTGACACAAATAAGAACACAAAAAATTCAACATGAAAAAAACATGAGTCAAAACAGAATGTGCCAGAAGGACTCTGTTACGGTTTGGATCTTAAGTGTCCTCCAAGGCTCATGTGTTGAAGGCTTGCTTCCCACACTGGGGGTCCTATTGGGAAGTGGTGCAAACATAGGAGGTGGGGCCTAGTTGGAGGAAAGGAGGTCACTGCAGATGGTTCTGAAGGTTATAATGGGACCCTGGCCTCTTCCTCTCTCTGCTTTCTGGCTGCCACAGGGGTAAGCAGCTGTCTTCTTCCACATGCTGCTCTCATGATTTATCACCTTGCCACACATTTGTAAGCAATGGGGCCAAGCGACCACTGACTGAAACCTCTGAAACTGTGAGCCAAATAAACTTTTCTTCCTTTAAGTTGTTATCTTTCAGGTATTTTGTCTCATTGACAGAAAACTAACACAGACTCACTGCCAGTTAGGGAAATAAGTACCAACTGGCAGTATTGGCTGACTATCCCTGGCTTGTGTTTCATTTTGCTTTATTATGAATTTGAATCTAGAATCAAAGAGACAAGTCTATGTAACAAATAAATCCAAGTGGCTTATCACTCTAAAGCCTGAATACAAATAAAAAAGGAGACAAGTGGAGGAAGAAGAACACCTTAAAAAACGTATTGTATTTAAAAAAAAGAAATATGAAAACAATACTTATCTAGCCTAATGGACCTTGCACAAATGCAGCAGGGTGGTGTTTCCAAACCTGTGGACCTCTAGGGCACCAGGGAATACTTTCACTTTTCAAAGGAAGCATAGTGACATCTATTGGACACTATGGGAACTAGTAGCTCGAGGTGGTTTGCAGTTTCATTATTAGAATGCACTGCATTCCTTCTGATAACATCTTTGCTAAAGCTGTTTTTCAACAATTACAAAAAGCAAATTCACAGAGGGTCCACTTGTTCCAATCTTTGGGAAGTTACATCATATACAACAAGTAGATAACCCATTTAGTAACTGTGGTTATATAAGGATGAAATAAAAATATTTTATTTTCTTAGTATTTGTGCTTTTTTTTTTTTTCTAAAAGTACTGAATTTCCAGGGCATAAATTACCAGTTGGTAACTACTTTGCTTTTTTTGTTTTGTCTTTGGTGGTACTAGAGTTTGAATTTAAGGCCTTTCACCTGCCAGGCAAATGTTCTACCACTTGAGTCAGGACTCCAGCCCTTTTTCACTTTAGTTTTCAGATAGGGTCTGGCATTTTCTACCCAGGCTGACTTTGGACCAAGATCCTCCGACTTACACCTCTCACTAACTCTCCTGGTTGGCTTAGATTACAGGCATGAACCATACTAATATAGCCCGGGCTGACTCTGAACTCTTGGTTGTACTGCTTTAGACTCCAGGATGCTGGGATTACAGGTATGAATCCCAGCACTACTTCTTAATAATAATAAGTAGAACCCTTGGTTGTTTCTTTTGGGGGGACATACTATGAAAAAATTACTGGGACACTGAGCACACCAAACTGAAAAAGTCTGTGAGAATGAGTCTCTACTGCTGCAAAACAGAGGCAAACAGCAAACTTTCTGTTGTTACTAAAATACAACTTGATCATAGATTACCAGGAAAGAGAGACTTTTTTTTCTCTGAAACCAAGAAGACACAGAAAATTTAGTAGGTAGGAGAAGGAATCTAAGGTCTAATGGTCTTAATCTTATCTATGAAACAGAAATAAAGGTGGCTGAGGGTACTCAGAGATAGAATGCTTACCTAGCATGTGGGAGACCCTGGGTTTGATCCCCAGTACCACAAACAAACAAAAATAAGCACAAAAGTAAAGGAGTCTGAGGTACGATAAAGACTTGAAGAGAAAGGTGAAAGAAAAGGTGCCGGCAAGAAAATAAAGACCTGAAATGTATGATAAGTTTTATAAACTCCACTAAGGCTGGACCCTAAAAATTTGCGGTAATAAGTATGATTAATTTCACCAACAGTCAGCTTGTCAAAATTGCAGAGAAAAACAGCAGGACTGATGTAGGGATTTACACAGTACATATGGTAAAATGACAAGACTGAAGGATGCTGGGGGGCATCTATAAGGGAACAGTTCAGAGCAACATCACTTTTAGGATAAAGAGGAAAAAAATGAAGTTTGGAAGAGGCTGATGGCATGAAAAATACCTGAAGAATCAAGGAAATATTTGAACAAATATCTTTGTGATAATAAAGAAATAAAAGAGGTGTGAAGTAGCTCACACCGATAATCCCAGCTATTTGGGAGGCAGAGTTTAGAAGGATCAAAATTCAAGGCCAGTTGGGCAAAAAGTTAGAGACCCCATTTCAACTCAGTACTACCCATCTCCCTCAAAAAGGAAATCAAAGAACAGAAGAGTAACAATAATAACAAGAGCTATCCTTTATTGCAAAACTATTATCTACAGGTATTATTTTAGGCGTTTTATGAGTTATCTCATTTAGGGGAACTAGAGATTTGATAAAAATTTGATATACTGAATTTAAGATTTCAACAATTTATTATACATTTTACGAAGAACTAGAAAAGAGGAGTTTGATGATTCCTGACACAAAGTAATAATAAATGTTTGAGGAGATGGAAATGCTGATTACCCTGATTTGATCATTACACACTGCGCACATGTATTAAATTATTATACTGTAGCCCATATACATACAAAATTAAAAAAAAATAATTTTGAGATGCAAAAAACAGATTTAAGAGGTATAGCAAAATTCATTACTAAATTGACACAAGAGTAAAAACATACTAGAGCTGAGGCGTTCAAAGAGGTCTGAAGTAATGATATGTTAAATATGTTAAAAATGATATTAAATAGGTATGTTTTAAGCTGGAGATAAGGCATTGCAAAGCCTTAAGTTAAAATCCCAGTTCTGCTAAAAACAATTAATAAAAATGATCTTTAAAAATAGGTATGTTTTAAATCCTTCAAAGTAATGGCAAATGTTAAGAGTGAAGGAAGAACCAAAGTCATCCTTTATGAGTATCAGAGTGCCTAATGGTCAAGAAATGAAAGAATAAAAAAAGACAATTATAAGTAGTTCCTACTCCCAGAGGAAGATATGACATGTTATTTAATAGTAGTACAAGTTGGAAGCAGCAAATGAAAGTTAATTATACCTTCATTACAAGTTAAGAAAACAGTATCTCAGATTATTTCAATCTTTTATGGGAAGTTTTTTTTTTTTCTTTTAATAACAAGAACACTGAGGGAATCCAGGGAAAAATGAGAAAATGCAAAGTTATAGTGTTTATAATAAAGATTAAGAAAGACCACATTTTATGATAAATATAAAAAGTATAATCTGATAGAATAAAAAGAAGACAGAAATAGTAGTAGTCATTAAGAATCCTGTATTATATACCCTAGGCTAGTTGTCTAACCCAAAACTATAATTTCTTACTTTGTAAAATGAGGGGGCTGAATTTTATAAGCAATTTCAACTTTTTTACTTAAGTGGCAAAATCCAAATGACCTCTTACATAGAATTATAAAACAAAATAAATCAAAAAGCTCCATGTTGCCTCTTGAGACTATAGGACACTGAAGCTTTCTAGGAATATAACATGAGCTTTTCCAGATTGAGACCATTTCTCGAATTATATTACAATTCTCAAAAGATCCATGAATTTACCTATGTGGTACTGGGGATCGAACCCAGGGACTCACACATGCTGTACTATGATATGTACTC